GAAGAGGCTGGTCGGCAGCGAAGGGAGAGGCTAGGTCGGCGGCTAAGGAGAGGCCTGCGGGACTGGCTGGCCGGCGGGACTAGGGACAAGGGACAGGCCGGCAAAGGGTGGGGTGAGGGACTGGGGACAGGTCGACGGCGAAGGGTATGGTAACTGGCCGGCGGGACTAGGGACAAGCCGGCGAAGGGTGGGTGAGGGACTGGGGACAGGTCGACGGCGAAGGGTAGGGGAACCGGTCGGCGGCGACCTGCGAACGGGTCGGATCTGGGGGTTAGGTCTGGAGAAGGCGTGGGTGGGGGTGGGTGTGTACTTACCTGTGCTCCTGGCCGTCGTCCTCCGCCGTCCGCCGCCGTCCGACGACCGTCTAAACCACCGGCAGGGAGGACGGGCGCAGGCTCCGAGAAGAGAGAAAGAGCAGAGCCATGGAGAGAGCCGTTACAGAGAGAGCAGAGCAAAGAGAAAAAGTAGAGAGAGAAAATCCGTCATAATAACCTACAATGGCGAGACCACATATTTTGGAAAATTTTTGAAGCTTTTATAATTTCCTTTGGTAGTTTTGGCCGAATACAATTTTAGATGGATTAGTCCATGAAGTTATTCACCCATAAAAGGACACGTGGCATATTACTTGGCAAAAAGTTATGCCTTAGAAAATGACAAAGGCAAATTCTTAGAGTATCAACTCTCAAATATTATATTAAATGATTTTAGGCATTTTAAATATTTTTAGTGTTTAATTTTTACTCCGTAGTTGTTTAGCTTAGTTTTATTTTAGTTCTCATTTTTACAATCTTTTAATTTTCTTTCAAAAATAGTAGCTTTTTAATCATTTTTTACATTTTATTATTGATGGGATTAACACGATCAGATGGCGGACCAAGAACGTTATATGGACCAGAAAGATTTAATCACTCATTAATATTCTTTAATTAAGTGTAGAATTACCCCCCTTACAATGACGGGTTCTTTCCCCTTTTATAGTGTTTCTAACATTGTAATTAAAATTATACTTAATGGGAGAAATTATGGAGATCATGGGGTTGTGATTCCCTCTTTTCCGGTCTCGTTCTATTTCCATCTCGTCCACAACTCAATGAAGTGGGCCACGTGTCCCATTCCTTCCTTGGACTGGGTCATCTTGATTTAACCCATGATTGGGCCGTCTCTTTCCATTTGCCACACGCGTAGTAACGGGCTCGGCCCGTTACCCCCACCTGGCCTTATACATCTCGCGCTATTATTGGCCTTTATTGGGCCTAGAGTCGGGTCTATCAGACCCGATATCCATCACAAGCCCCCTAGTTTTCTGGCGACGTGTCGCTAGAAAACTAATGATGAGCCGCCTTCGGTTTTCGTGTCAGATTAGAAACGTCGCACTCGAGTGCCTTGGGTCCCCTCTGTCAACGGATATAACCCCTTCTGGACTCGTCTTCTTCCTCCTTCGCTACCGAATCTTAACCCGACCCGAATTCCGGCTACATTTTCCCCAAATTTTCGCTCCCTTCTTCAAAATGACTCCTGCAAATCCCGCAACCTGGACCCACGAACCCTCTATCATTAGGGAGGACGAACTTCGAGAAGTGGCCGCGCTTCTGGGCAAGGGCTTCCGGGTCCACCATCCCGATGCCGTCGGGGGGATTAGCCTATCCCACAACCCAAACCCTCAGAAGTATATGGTCATGCAATATCACTCTATGGAAAATGGGTTCAGGTTGCCCCTTCACGGTCTGCTTCGCGACATCTGCCGCCATTTCAGATTCGCTCCGGGCCAGTTGACTGCCAACGCGCACAAGTATGTTGCATCTTACATCCTGTGGTGCTGTGCCCTAGACAGAACCCCAACATTGGACGAATTCCTTATCCTCTTCAGTATCGGTGGGTCTTTTCCTTTTTACAACCTGTATCCTCATCCCCATGCCCCAATTTTTGAGAGGGTTGAGTTTAAAAACGACAAATGGTCATACCGCTACTTCGTCATTGAGTTCCCGGCTCACAGCCCTTTAGATCTGCCGGGTGTCATTCTTCGTAGTTCTATTTCCCGGACGAAGTTCGTTGCAGCACCATTGGCGGAGGAAGTTTACACTGCCTTGAGAGAGGAAGGGGGTTTAATTCCACACCACTCCCTTCAAGACGCCAGGTTATACAAGAAGGCGGATTTTTACTATCCCCTGGGTCCTGACCCTGTTCCGTTTGAAGGGGAGCCTTCCCCTGAAAGATCAAAGGCTCCTCCTACTGCGGAATCCGATCCAGTCGGGAGCTCCTCCGGGAACCAAACTCAAGGTGACTCCACTGCCTTGGCCATTCGCAAGCCGACTGCTGCCCTGGAGGCTGTCCCCATCTCTGCTATTCCTGGGATGAGGAGGCCCACTCTGTCCCAGAAACAGCCACGGGAAGGAGTCACTGATGATGATTTCCTTCCCAAGAAGAATAAGGGTGATGGTACTTCTGCTTTGCCCAGCCCCCTATCCACTTCTTCCGGTACCCAGCACACCATCCCTGCTGCCGTATCCGGGGGTTTAGAGCTACCCCACCCGGATAGCTTAGATCGTGAGGAAGATGAACTTCGGGACCAGTCAGCGCTCAAGAGACCCGCAGTGCAGCCTCAGCCTGAGGTGATCAATACCTCCCCACACATTGCAACTGCTCCCCAAGGAGTGGAGGAAGAAGGTGAGGGGCAGAAAGAACCGGAGTTTTCTCCTGCAGCAGAGAAGGAGGTTGAAGTGCAGAAAGAATTGGACGCCTCCTCCACGATGGAGAAAGAAGCTGGAGAGCAAAAAGGTGCTGAGGCTCCTCCAGAGACTGAGATACAGCGGGAATCGGAGGAACAGCAGGAACCGAAGGAACGGCGTCCCGCCATCACACCCCTGGCCGTCAATCTCCCCATCCGGCGCAAGTTCACGCCGCAAACCTACCCTGCCTTCAGGGAGGGTTGGGCAGGCTTCTCCCGCGACTTGAACTCTTTACAGGCTTCCCACTAGACCATCCAGGCGAACCTAGAGAAGATGAGGGAGTCAGTTCAGGGCCCTACAATTCCCCAGGCACGCCCCGACTTGCTTGCCCTCAATGCTCTGCACTTCATGGAGCAGATACTCTTCCCTTTCAAGAATCTCTTCATCTCTTTTCAGTTAACTCTTTCTTGACTTCTCTTCCCCTTTCCAGGCCCATGAATCACTCCTCACTCTGACTGAGGAGTACTTGGGTAGAGCATCGGGGAATTACCGGGCTGTGGTACTCCTGAAGGAGAAGGAGTTGGCTGCCAAGGCTCTGCAACAGAAAATTGACACCCTAGAACAACAAGTCCAGGTCCTCCATGTTGGGAAACGAGGCTTGGATAACGCAGCAGATAAAAAAATTTAGAGTCCAAAACTCGATTCCACCCAAGAACAACTTACGTAAATTACTAGCTATAGTAAGAAATTTACCTTAACGGTGAAAACAGAGAACGGAGGAACGGTCGGGGATGGTTTTGAGGAGATGAACGTAGCGCCAAACGTATGAAGCCTCCAACGTATCCACACGAACTTGCTCCGGAGTCCTAGATTAAACTTGTGCTAGTAAGTTTAATTTAGGATAGTAAAAACTATAATAATATTACTTTGGGAGTAATAAATATATAGTAAAAATATTTATCTTATAAATACTTCTTTATAATATTTTGTGTATATTTCTAACACATTAGAAAAATAACTTTGAACACAAAATAAAATTTTCTTCTCTCTAAAATGGGATGGCCGAAAATCGTGGTGTTTTTTTCAAAATCAAGACCTCATTTTATAATAAAGTATATTTAGGAAATTGCTAGGAAATTAATGTTAAGCATAAGTCCATGTATATGTTATTCACATCTCTAAATATGCTTAGCGGCATACCCAACGCATAACTGTACGTCTACCAGTGTTTCAGATAGCATTAGTTATGAATCAAAGCATACGTCCCCACATACCAGAGAATGTAATAACTTCAAGTCTAAGGATAGTTATAGCAAGGTCGATTTGAGAATACTGATAAACACATTACTGTAGATCCATGCAGTATTCTCAAGATGGGTCAATCCAGTCACATATTATCGATATAATATGCACCTACGTACATATTAAGATATCACAATACCTATAGTCTATGAGACGCAACTATCTCATCTCGTACGTACTAGTCTTGATACGTTATGACGTCCGTATTATCATAAAGTGCGACTACGGACATTTTAGACATAGCCTTCGTCAAGAAGTAACAGTCTCATAATCAGAACATCGTAGTCCTCATCTATGTTACTGAAGCGCTATCGTCTATGGACTGAAGCTATGTTATGTTACACGAGATATAAAACATACTTCAAAGCCTTTCATTCATGACAAAGTGTACAGTTACATAGGTATTTGATTGCCGCTAGGGCACCTAAATACAACAATCTCCCACTTGCCCTAAGGCCAATCAAGCATTTCTCGAATGCCCATGGACCACGTATGACTCTCGTGTTTAGGCTTTCCCAAAGCCTT